TAAACCCTATAAACCCTAAACACCAAGCGGCCAAAACCCTACCCCGGCCTCTTTCTTTGCGAGCTCCTCGATGACTCGGCTGAGTACCTGCTTCTCGGACCCCTGAAACGCCCGGTTTAGGGTGTAGGGAAGTTTAGAGTTTAGGGTTTAGGCTTTACGGAAGTTTGTTTAGTTTAGGGGTTAGCGAGGTTTAGAGTTTAGGGTTTAGGGTTTAGGGAAGTTTAAGGTTCTTCGGGCTTGAGGGTAACCCGTAAGTGGCACCTCTTGGTGTTGTGGGTTCAATTTTTGAACTCCGTTTCTGGGGTCCGGCTTTTGACAGTCCACTTCGACGGCACGGCCCTTCTGGAGCCTCCTTTTGGGGGCTTTCGAGTTTGGGGCCTTTCATCATTTTGTGGAGAAGGCTACTTGGAGGATCATGGGACTTAGTAAGTATGGTTATAAGTACCTTAATTGGGGTTAGAAGTAGTTCTAAGTATAGTTAGCCTAATAATAACCTTCGTTACTAAGTCCCATGATCCTTTAACTACTCTAAACCCTACCCCCGAAACCCTAAACCCTAAACCCTAAACCCTACATCCTAATATTAACCTTAGTTACTACGTCCCATGATCCTTGAAGTAGGGAGAAGGCTTACGGGGCTCTTAGCACAGGGTCTTCAAGAGCTCAGCTTGCAGCTTGCGCCACGTCTCAAATCCCAGACCAACGAGCCCCAATGCCGCCTACCTAAACCCTAAACCCTAAACCCCAGAAAGGGCTCCCTAAACCCTAAACCCTAAACTAGAAAGGGCTACCTCTCTTAGCTTATAAGAGCTACAATGCACTTGAAAGCCCTGCGCTACCAGCTCTGGGCTCGTTGGGTTTGGCTCCATCGCGGGCTTCATAGAAGTTAAGGGTTTAGGGTTTAGGGTTTAAGTTGAAAGCTGGCGTGAAATTAAGGGTAGGCAGGTTGGAGGGTTGAGGGTTCAGTGACCAATACCCTACTCGGAGACACTAAGGCGAACCCTCTCCTAAATTGGGATATCCAAACACCGTCACGGGATCTTGACAAAAGGCCACACATGTAGGGTTTTCTGTTTTGCCCATGAACCTCTCCGTAAGAATCTCTTGAGTGGGTTGTTTGGGATTGTGAATGAGATGCAACAAGAGGTTTAGGTTGCAGGACGTCAGCCCATGCCGCCGAGTTTTCGAGCAGGGGGTCTGTACTTGGAGGATCATGAGACGTAGTAAGTATGCTTATAAGTACCTTAAGTGGTGTTATAAGTAGTTAGAAGTATAGCTACCCTAATAATAACCTCAGTTGCTAAGTCTCATGATCCTTTAAGTACCCTAAACCCTAAACCCGAAACCCTACCTTAGTTGCTAAGTCCCATGATCCTTTAAGTATGTCCTCTCAGGCGACGACCCAGCCAACCGTGGCATCCTTCTCTGCCTCACACACATGGCTACCCTAAGTTCGACTGCGAACCCCCCCCCCCCCCCAAACTCTTCCAAAAGTCTATAGCGATTCGACCTCGAAAATCTTCAGTTGAGGCCAAGCTACCTAAGTTTGCATGGCTTGCGATTTGCTATGGACGTCTGCGACAAAGGGCCCTCTTCGCTGAGGCTTCTTCGGGTGCAGAAGACGGCCTTTTCCAAGGCAATTCCCGATTGGATTTCATGTGTAAGATCTCGGCGCTCAGATCTGGATGCGTGGCGTTCGCGTGCAGGGTTTGGGAGGGGGGGGGGGGCGGGGGCATGGGCGGCTGCACGGTCGCTGTGTTTGAACCGTGGAGTGTCAGCCGTCAACCAACGATGTCGCAGGCTCAACATGCAGTCATTAACCTCACACCTACCGCCCACATCCAACAATATCATACCTCATCATATCACGTCGCAGCATACCATATCATAATCATATCCATAATCTCACCACCTTCATATCACATGATATCATGACATATCAGATCACATTACATCATGTCCTGGCATAGTCGTATTGCATAGCATGTCACACACACAAAGCCAAATGTGACCCCCGCTAGAATGTGCAAAGACAAAGCATCCAACGATTGCATCCGTTCAATCCTGCCAGAGTTTTGCGGATTTACAGGTTCAAAGTCTGAGGTGCTCCAGTTCACAAGATTACGGTTCAGGGTCCGCCGTAAACCAACCTTTCAACATCTCAAAGAACAGAGTAGATTACTCATCTTCATATGAGATTAATGCCCAAGCCAGAAATCACGTTGGACAACCCTCCCTATACCGTCCAAACTGAACTGGACACCTGCACCGCCCCTCCCCCCTCCAAAAAAGGAACAACGAGGCTCAAAACCCTAATCAACAACGGAAATTACATCTCAGGGTACTGCAAGGCCTGAAGGCGTCCAAGAGGAACTTGCAAAAATCGGTCCGCCTGCACCCAGATCTCTACTCGCCGATCCTCAGGCTCCTCACCCTTCTTGGTGACCTCTTCAGGCGACAGGAGCCAATGGCTGAAGGGTTTAAGGCTTCAGGATTTGGGTTGCGAGGCCGAGGTTCCGGGAAGTTTAAGTACTTGAGGAATATACTTGTTGGTATAAACCTTCTTATTTTTACAGTTTTCTGAAGTTGCATTGGGCGCCTGAGCTGCACTAACGCCTTCATAGCTGTACGGTTCCCGATCTGCTGTTTTGGGGTCTCATGATCTAGATTAAAAAAGTCTGAGTTTCGTGTCCTAACCTTCCGAAGGACCGCGCTGACTTGCTTCGAGATCTGATTCGAGCCCTGCTGACAGGATGCAGGGTGCAGGTTGAGAGATCGGATACATTGATGTTGGGACTCCGTGCTTTCGTGCTTTAAAGACTCCGTTTACCGGATAGAGTAGTAAGCTGGAGTTGGGATAGATGCTCGGGGTGGTAGGTTGCAGTTCTGAGGCAAATGGCAAAGTTGAGAGTCTGCGTGCCTTGCGGATGTGGCCGGCGACCAAGACCATGTTAGATGTCCGCCCCTGCATTGCAACTACTGTTGAACAGTCTTGAACTCCCAGACATGTTGTCGCAGCTCGAGGGAGCCGTCGAATTCGGACGCAAGTGCCCGCAGGCAGAGCTTGTGCTTTACAAACACATACGCGGTTGGGCCGGGGCCTGTTTCCAGGTTCAAGTGAGGATGGCTCGTCTGCGTTTGCAACGTTCCAGCATCCCTTTATCAACTAATGACCTATGAGGGGCTTCGCAACAAGACAAAGACATACTGACAATCGCAAGATTGTATTGTGGCACCTTGTATCAGGGGTGTAATTAAGTTGTCGGTATGCGCACTAGCTAATTGGATGGCGTGTTGTCACTTCAGTTTCTGTTGTAACACTTCAGTACTGCCTCCTGTATGAATGGCTATGCGGCAATACACAACCGCGATGACTATTACAATACTGGAACTGTCTATGTAGGTAAACGTGGCTGTATAAATATATAAATACAAATATGTAAAAAAGACATAGAATACATAAATGTCTCCATGTCATATAAGCACGCCTCCAAGTACAGAATGCAATTTCCCACAAAAAGACAAAATGTCTCCGTAGGCATGTGGTATAACAGCAGAATCTAGCACAGCTTACGGTCGTGTCGTAAACCGAATACAGCGATTTGACATGCATTTCCAGGGAGTGCGGGAGTGTAGACAAACATGCAACGGTGGTAAGGTTTGGTGCAGGCGCGCGGATATGCCAATGCCACGTGGACACTTTGGTGCTTTGGTGTGTGGTGGCTGGCGCTGGGGAGAGTTCCCCCCCCAGCCAGCCGCCCCAGCATAAGCAACGACCATGACCATTTCTGATAAGGAGATAAGGATAAGCAACGGTCACTGCGTATAAATAGCGACCACTGTTTATACACGACGGCTTTGTTTATAAACATGGGTCCTGTTTATGGACAACAGCCTTCGCGTATAAGCAAGAGACACATCTACAACATAAAGAAGGTTGCGATTTAGACCATCAATGCAAACGAAATCTTTGCTACTCTAAGCGTTTGAATACAACAAGCACCCTGACCATCAGAGAAGAACGATGGCCACTCCGAGACCGCGAGACCGATACTGCAATAGTGCTGGTACTTACTTAGGGCCCTATTTTTTCATTTTACGACATGTATTTTGAGCAACCAATTGTGCCTCGGCTGGGCAACAACCTCCAGCAAGGAAAGGGATGCGGCAAAACAGCCACCGAGAACATCTCAAAAACGAAGCCTATTGAATCTATTGCATATTCTCGTCTGTACTGCAGCGACAACCCAACAATGCATGCTGATGCAAGTGAGCAGCTTGAGCATTAGACATCATCATTTGGCGATTTATAGCTGCAGACCTCTACTTCCCATCAATCGGTTGGCAAATCTCAACCCTGAACCTAAACCCTAAACCCTAAACCCTAAACCCTAAACCACAAGCCGGATCCAACCCCTGAGCCCTCCTAAACCCGAACCCCTAAACCCT